GTCAACTGTTTTGTACAGGAGGTCGAAGTGCTGGGGGCAGTGGGAGGGCGCAAGTGAGGTCAGGAGTGAGGGCAGCGACAAACCCCACCAAGGAAGGCCCAGAGACCGTGGATCACATGCTTCTAGGCAGGACGGGGCAAGAACTCACCTGGTCAGGTCACCCTCCCACCTGAGCCCTGTGAGCTCACCTGGACCGCTGTGTAGGCCATGCCGAGGTAGGCGCCGATGCAGACGGCCAGGAGCAGGTCGAAAATGGCTGGTTTGACCCTGGAGGGAGAGGAGTCAGAGGTCAAGAGAGGGGGTGAAACCGGCCACTCCCTGGCTTTCCTATGGACCGCAGGCCCCTGGATGGTAACCCAGGGGGACAGGGCTCCTGGTCCAGAGCAGCTCACCTGTAGGCATTCATCACCTGCTTCAGCTGGTCGTAGAAGACAAACTCGGGGTCCCTGGGAGAGAGTGGGTTCTCAGTGGACTCGCCCCGACAGCCGGGACCCCAGATAGCAGACCACCCGGAGGTCCCACAAGCCCAGGGACATGGAGGGAGCACCCTATGTGTGTGTCTCCTTGAGGCTGCCACGATTCCTCCTGGGAAAGGACAGTCCTTTATTCTGAAATACGATCTTCCCTATTGCTTTTTTGGTGCTGAAACAATCTTAAAAAATGGAACACGGGGACTGTAGAAACTTGACCGGTCTCGGAAGTATTTCTATAGAGGGTGGGTGACCGTGGCCCGAGAATCAGTACCCTGGCTTTGGCGGTGCAGCCCCTTTGAGCCTCAGTTTCTTCTAAGCGCTCTGCTTCGGGAGTGCCACGGCTCGGACAGAAGGTGGAGGCCAGCAAGGGCAATGAGCAGTCTGGGGACACCTTCTGCCCATGGACACCCACAGGTGCCTCTCCTACCACAGCCCCTGAGGTGCCTGCTCACTTCAGCCTGGGAGCCCTGAGCAGAAAAAAGGTAAAACTCAGGGGGCCCACGGTGAGGAGAAGCACCCTAAGGGCAGGCAGGGACCGGGGTACAAGCCACCCGAGGCCTAGAGCACAAAAGGACCAGAGGGTGGGTGGAGGTTAGGGCTGCCAGATAAAACACAGGACGTCAGTTCTCTGCGGATTCAGATAAATGGGGAACAGGCTTTTAGGATAAGTATATCCAAGCATTTCATGGGATATACTTACACTAAAAAAACAATTTGCTGTTTTATCTGCAACTCAAAGTTAACTAGTACCCAGTACTTTTTTACTTATCATTTAACTTTTCATCCGGTACTTTATTTGCTCACTCTGGCACTGGGAGCGGTATAGAAGACTCTAGAAGAGCATGCTCACTGGCCAGCCACACTTCATGAGCCTGTGACAGGGTGGGGGCCGTCTGCGCCTCACCGTTTGTCAGCCTTGATGTGGTGCTGCTTCACCTCCTTCAGGTAGCGGCTCAGGTAGTGCTCCAGGGTGTTGAGGAACGTGCCATCTTTGTCCACTAACTGGGCAGCCCGGGGCTGGTTGGTGAGCCAGTCCATCACCGAGTCCAGCTGTTCCTGCTGGATCTGCTGCGAGGAACATGGCCATGGTCAAGGGACCCCTTCCTACCACTGCCCCAGGACCCCTGCCCACCCAGCCCAGCGGTTACCATCTGCTCTGTGAAGACAGGCATGTCCGGGGGCGTCCCCTGTGAAGAGAGGAAGGACAGGCTCTCAGTCCGGACCCGCCTAGTGCACTGGGTGGAGGGAGGGAGGGCTTGTGGCCACCGGTGGGGTCTCACCTTCTCAGTCAGGTTGTAGATGACTCGAGTCAGGGCCTCTGCGATGAGCCTTGTGTTGCGGGTCAGGGTTTTAGAGTCAACCCGGGACCTTCAGGGCGGATTTGGAAAAAAAATCTCTATATATTTGAAATCAGCATCATTTATAATCACCAAAAATCAAGAGCAACCATATATCTAATGATAATATAAGAAAAGACACAGCCTCCTGGGGCAGGGCGGGCACCTCTCCACACCTCAGATTCTGCTTTAAAATTTAGGGGGACCCTGCCCTCCTCAAAAGGCTGCCCAGCACCCATGGCGGTTATATGCAGGTACAGAGAAGCTAGCCTGGCTCCCTGTGTCTGCCTGAAATGACTGGACCCTTCTGAGCCTGTTTCCTCATCTGGAACGTGGGCGGTCAGAGAGCCTGCCAAGCAGTTAGGGTCAAATATCCCCCCCAAAGTCACACCCACCCGAACCTGGGAAGGTGACCTGATTTGGGGGTAGGATCTTTGTAGATGTGATTAGTTAGGATGAGGTCACACTGAAGTAGGGTGGCCCCACATCCAATGGCGGATGTCCTTCTAGGAGGAAAATTTGTGACAAAAGAGACACAGATTGGGGTGATGCAGTCACAAGCCAAGGGACACCAGGGATCATGGGCAACACAGACCCGAAAAGAGGAACGCTGGAGGCAAAACGTCACTGATCCAAGTGAGTGTGAGATCTGCGCCCACCCTGGGAGGGGAGAGCAGCAGGGGGAGGTGGCTGACTCACTCCCCCAGCTCTGTTCCTCTTTTCCTCCAACTCTCCTTTGCTCTCAGCTTCCTCTGCCCTGGAACACCCTTCTCCTGACTCATGTCCCTTGGTTTCAGTGCCACCTCCTCCAAGAAGCCCTCCAGCCGCAGGACCAGCTGATGCTCCCGCTGTGCCTGTTCTCAGTCTCTGGGTCTTGCCCGTCACCAGGCTGGCTGAACCCCATCCAGGGCCACCTTCTCATTCCCCCAGCTGATGCGTGTCCAGTAGCTAGGACATTGCTCAGGGTTGGCCAATGAGAGGGCACAGGCAGACTGTCCCAGGCTCGGGGTCTGGCAGCCAATACCCCCAGCCTCACTGGGGGCTGCCATGCTAGCAGGGGGAACTAATGGGATATGAGGTCCTAAAACAAAGGAAGCCAGAGGTAGCAGCGCCACAGAGAAAAGAGAGAGACAGTAGTTGGTGGGAGGGCTCCCAAGGAAGCATGAGGGGTCTGGGAGACAGGGCACAGCTCGCCAGGTGGCAGTACAGCCATGGAAAGGCCTGGGGGCAGAAGCCACAGGTGCTCAGGGTCTAAAAGTCATGCATAGAGGCTGGAGGTGGGGTCCTCCCCGTCCCCAGCACCCTCTTGCTGAGTAAGCACAGGTGAGCCACACTCCTGTTTCTTGAGCTGCCAGGCTAGTGCCAGCCCCTCCCCACAACCCACAGGGCAGGATTACTCCCTCCAGGCACCATGTCTACTGCCAGGCCCCTACTCTGGAAGAATAGTTTTGTTCGTAGGACCCAGGTGACAGAAAGACAGCTACGAGGTAAAGCGGGAGGCCTGGGGCCGCACTCACCGCACGTCCATTATGCTGCTGCGCTGGCCATCACGGTGGCTCTCCAGGTGGGACAGGGTGAAGGCCGGCAGCCGGCGGATGGCGAAGCGCTCGTGCTCCCAGGCCAGGATGTCCTCTGCCAGGTTGATCTTCTTGTGCACCATCGAGAAGCGCACCTCCGGGAACTGGTGAGCAGCCACCTGTGTGGGAGGGTGTCATCAGGGAGTCCGCCCACTGCCCTGGGTCCCGGCCACACCCAGCACGTCTGCAGAGGGACATCTTGCACTGAGTTCATTCTACAAATGTTCACAGGACCCTGAGAGCCAAGAGGGTGCCATGTCCCTCCCCAAACCTCCCCCATTTAGAAACGGGGAAAACCCACTTGCCTCCCAGGAAGCCAACGGAGGCTCACTCAAGGTCCCAGGGTTTGCAGAGTGCCTGGTCTGGTGCCTGGCTGGTGGTGGATACTAGCTAACAAGGGACAGTAGGGCAGATATCCCAGCCTGGCCCCAAGTCCCTTGTGATATACTGCTGCCCTTGTCAGGGCCTCCGGGCGCCTGTCTGTGAAATGGGCACGTGCCCAGCATGGGGTCAAGCTGCTGCCTGGAGGGCTCCTTTGTCACCAGGGGCACCTACCATCTCCAGCTCCCGCAGGAAGGCGTGCTGCAGCGTCCCCTCCCTGGGCGGCTTGGACACGTGCAGGTGCAAGTTATTCCCCCGGCCCACGGTGTCCAGGCAGAGGACGAAAGCCACGTTGTCCTGGAGCAGGCTGGAATCTGTGGAGACAGTAGGAGCTGACCGGGGTCGGGGGGGCCAAGGGCCCCTGACCACATAACCTGGGAAAGCTGGGGGCCACTAACCTGTGTGGTCCAGGTTGTCTTCTAACCAGCGCTTGGTCCCCTGATAGTTAAATTTGCCCCCTCCAGACGCAAAGAACAGGAGATTATACCTGATGGGGAGAGCAGAGGTGTCAGCTTTGGCAGATGCGTGTCCAAGTCCTCAACAAGGAGGAGATGGTCTCCTCCAAGTGCAAAATCCTGACCAGCCCTCAGGGCAGGGCTTCCCCATTGCCCACTTCTGGCATCAGCACCGGGTCATCCCCGTGTGGAGCCACCCTTGGCACTCTGGTGTACTGAGCCGCTTCCATCCACTCGATGCCAGGAGCATGCCCAGTTGTGACAACCAGATGTCCTCAGACACAATCCAGTATCCCCTAGGGCAGAGTCACCCTGGGTGGGAACCGCTGTTCCAGAGGCTTCTCTGAGCCCTCAAAACCAGGTGACAACCTGGTTTCAACCGACGACGAGGAAATAGACCAGAAAGAAAAGGAGAAAGGAACCCAACACTGCTTTTCCAAAAGCAGGACTGAAGCCAGGCTGTCACCAAAGACCATATCCCGGGCCTCCCTCATCCTCCACCGCACCCATCCCACCAGGGCCACAGCAGTCCTTACAGGAGAGAAAAGGCAGAAAGAGAGAAGACATGTGAGGAAGGAGACAGAGACTGGAGTTACGCAGCCACAGCCAAGAAATTCTGAGGACTGCAGGCAGCTCCCAGGAGTTGGGGAAGGCAGGAAGGACCCTCCCCGGAGCCTTAGTGGGAACATGGCCTTTGACAAGTTGATCTAGGCCTCTGGCCTCCAGAACTGGGAGCATAAATGTTTGCTATTTCAGCTTCTGTGTGTGGTGCTCGGTGACAACAGTTCTAGGAAACTGACACTCTCGCTGTGCCCCTTTCTGCCCCAGGGCAGCGTGGTGTGTGGGTGAATAAACCAAGAACAACCCAGCCCAGTGTCCACAGCGCCAAGAGAAGGAAACTAGTTTAAGTGACTATTTTTAGTGTTTCGATTGTTACTTGCAGCTGAAAGCATCCCCAACACTTGCGGGACTAACAGCAGCCGAGCCTCCTGGGCAGGATTCCAGGGGATGAATGTGAGCGGGGCCTGGCCTACGGTAGTCCTCAATAGAGACACTGTTATTCCTGGGGTTGGAACTGCACCCGGGCCCCAAGGCGTAACCAGTGTGGCCCAATCAGCACGTGGCCCCACCTGGCCCACAGCCCCTCCCTCCCGGCCATCACTTACGCAGCGTGGGTGCGCTTGTAGGTGTACAGCCTGGAGAAGAGGCGGGCGAGCTCCAGCAGCACGGAGATGCCGCTCCCGTTGGAGTCTGCGCCATGTGACAGCCACTGTGGACGAGCAAAACAAGACCAGCCGTCACCCCCCACTGGCCACACATGGCGCCTCATTACCCTCCTCCCACAGCACTCTGTACGTGCAGTCTTGTCCCCAGTCCACAGTTAGAGCAGACCTGGGATGGCTACCCTCCTCTGCTTAGAGCCCCAGGCTGACAGCACCTCAGTGTCCTCGCGGATGAGCGCCTGGACATTTGACGCTATTCTGTGTCTCCTTGCCCATTGCAACTCTGACCTGTGCAGAGCAGGGAACTGTGCCACCAGGGCTGCCTCCACCCAGCAGCCTCAGCATGTGCACCCACACCCTCACTCCCTTCACTATGGGGGGAGCTGATGCAGGTTCTCTCCTGCCAGCCCAACCCTCTGCGCCTTCCCTCAACTCATCTGGGTTCTGTGACTGAAAGCAGTACTCCAATGGGGCAATGACTATTTCCTGGGGAAAGAAAGAAATCTTGGATTCCATAATGGCTCAGGACTCTCCCCAGGTCACAGTCTATTAACCAACACATAGTGTATCAACAGAAGTAAAATTCATGCGGAAGAGGACCATGATGGCTCAGCAAGAGGAGCCAGACACCAAAGGCCACAGAGTGTGTGATTCCGTTTATGTGAAATGTCCAGACTGCTAATAGGGATGGGGATGAAGGAATGTTCTGGAATTAGATAGTGGAGATGGTTATACAACCTCATGACTATATTAAAAACCACTGAATTGTATGCTTTAAAAGAGTGAATTTTACATTATGGGAATTTTTTTGTTTTAATTTTTTTTAAATTTCACAGACAGAAATTAGGACAAAAGTGTCTAAAAAGGAATAATGAACAAGCTGAGAAGCGTTGTTCTCAGCTAATTGTTCAGAGCCTGTCTCTGGGCCCCGGCTGGTCCAGGTGTTCTCAAGGGTGGCCTTGGCCTTCCAGGTGGTGTGGCCCCGGAACAGCTGTCCCTGGTCTGTGGCACAAACGCTCACACGAGGCTGCAGGTCCACCCACCATCAGCTCCCTGTTTGGTTCAGCTGGTTGTTCTTCCAAAGCAAGACTTCCTTGACAAAGGAAGCAGATTTACACTCTGGCTCCAATCTCGCCATGCTGGGAGCGCTGAGGGATGCCTGCAGCCAGCGGGAAGGGCTAAGTGCACTTCAGACTTCTCTCTTCAGAGAAGCCGGCCTGCAAGGCCAGCCCTGGGCAATGTCTGGAACTGGACTCTGGGGGCTCCCACCACCCTCACTGATGGGGGCTCCCGGGCATAACCTGTCTGTGCCAACACATGACTCGTGCTGTGCACGTGCTCTCCTCCGGATTCTGGATCTCGGACTTGCCAGGCAGAGGGGCCTGTATGATCGGCCCCCAGTGAGAACCCTGGGCATTGGGTCTCTAGGAGCCCCTGGAGACTACACCTCACATGCATGGTCACATCTTGTTTTGGGGGAGTGAGTGAGTGCTGTGGACTCTGGAAGCTGTGCCTGGTCCCCACACCGACCTGTCCCACGCACTTTGCCCCTGGCTCAGTGCTGTCTCTGCACAAACATGGCCATGAGGACACCCATCTGCTGAGCCCTGGGGTGCTCTCGGTGAGTTTTTGACAGTCTCTTGGAGACCCTGACAGACATGCCGGGCTCTATTCCAGGCCCAGCCACCTATCTGCAATGGAACCCTGTCCACAAGACTCGCCCTGGTTTCGCCTGTCTCAACTGGAAGACGACACCCACCCTGCAGGGTCCTCAAGAGGAGCTGAGGGAATGCCTAAAGGGCTCTCAGAGTGGGCGCTGCTCCTCTGACCACAGCTGCTGTCCACGGACAGCCGCTTCTGCGTCTGAGCTGGGCTGAGCAGTGTGGGAGGAAAGGCACCCACCTCCCCTCCTGAGACGAGCGTATACGTACAGGAGCCACTCCAAAGGCATCATAGTGAGCCACAATGACGATCGTGGGAAGGTCCTCTCCACCCAGGCCCGTCAGCCGTCCCTGTGGAGAGACAATCCATGAAGCGGCCAGCCAGCTGGGGTTCTGACCACCAGAACAGTCCAGGCTGCCCCCACCCAGCAGGCCAGGGATAGGAGAGTATTTTTAGCTTTGCTAGCTCTATGGTCTGTCATAACCTGTCAGTTGTGGGTGACCTGTGAATGAGTGGGCGTGGCCAGGTGCCAATGGAACTTAATAGAAATCGGCTGAAGGCTAGACTTGGCCAAGGGTTGCAGTTCGCTGAGCACCGCTCTAGCTACAGGAATCTGTGCCATCATCTTAGTGTGCTTCTCCCCCTGCACACCAACCCCACCCTCAAAGGTGAGCTCCAAACCACTGTTTTGAAGGGCAGAGCACTGTTGATAAGGAGAAATGGTGCAGTCAGGAATGGAGCCCCCAGAGCCCCAGTGCAGGTCCCAGCACTGGCTGGGGACAGTGGGAGGGAGGCCAAGCACCCCCACTTCCTCCCTGCCCTCTGCTTCCCACGTGAATAATAGGAATGGCAGAGGACTCATGGCAGCACAGACATTTTCAGAACCAAAGACTGTGGCAACCAGGCTGGAACAGAGCCTCAAATGTGAGAGGGGCCCCACTGGCGTGGCTCAGTGGTTGAGCGTCACCCTGTGAACCGGGAGGTCACCTGTTCAATTCCCAGTCAGGACACATGCTCGGGTTTCAGGCTTGATCCCCAGTGTGGGGGGTGCAGGAGGCAGCCAATCAATGATTCTCTCTCATCATTGATGTTTCTATCTCTCCCTCTCCCTTCCTCTCTGAAATCAATAAAAATATTTTTAAAAAATGTGAAAGGGACCCACCAGACCCCCAGTGGCTCCATCTGCTGTGACCCCCTGGGAGTCTGATAACAAGGACTCTGGCAGTACAGGTTTTCTCTGCCCAAATCACCACCATCTCTTATGCAACTTTAAAACACGTATTCGTCTGAGTGTTCTATCAATTGCTCAGAGGCTGCTGCAGCCTCCCTTATCCTGAATCGGCCTGCCCGCCCTGCTAGCTGCCATGCCTCTTCCCCCGTCTCTGCAGGAATCCAGTCCTCTCCTCACTGCCACTTCACTTGGCTCCAGGCCTCAGCCTGGACATCCCTGAGTGACCCTCTGAAATGCGAGAGGAATTCAAGGGAAATTACAGAAAGGCATGGGATTCTTGAACGACTTTGTTTTCCTGTTGATCCTCACCAGAGGGTATTCCCCCCATGATTTTTAGAGAAAGTGGACGGGAGGGAGGGCAAGAACATCCATGTGAGACACACTGCTTGGTTTATTCCCACGCACACCTCGACCAGGGCTGGGAACGAACCTGCAACCCAGGTGCATGCCCTTCACTGGGAATCAAACCTGCAACCCTTCAGTGTGCAGGCCAACACCTACTACTGAGGACACCGGCCAGGGCTCAACTGATTTTGTGTGTTAAACAGCTCTAAGGCAGACTCACTCAGTCCAGGAGGCAGAGGAGTGGCTGCACCCCAACTTTTACCAGCGTCTGCATACTGACATGGGGGCAGTGCCAAGCAGCCTGGCACCATCTGGTGTAAGTCCCTGGGAATTTGGGCCTACAGAAGCCCCATTAATACAGAAGGCAGTGCCTGGCCCAAACAGAGGGCGGGGAGACTAGTATGCTCAGCTGCAATGGGCCTAACTGGGCAGTAGGCACCAGGGCGGGCTCTGAGGATGAGACAGTGGTCTCAGCACCCCCCCATCCCAGGGGCTTGGCACAGGAACAGGGCTGGCACTCACCTCCACACTGGTGATGAGCCAGTCACTCAAGGCCTTGCTCTGGACCCCGCTGGTGACCATCTGGAAGCCATTGGCAGTGGCAGTGTGGAGCAGCACTGGGGACAGGAGCAGTGAGGGGTCAATCCAAGGGTCCCCCGACCACAGCCAGCACCCTCATCACTCCCACACCCTGGGCCCTAGATGGTCAGTCTATGCAAAGCTGCATGCAAAACTGACCACACGAACTAGAATGCAAGGCGATGACTGGACATGGAAAAGAGCCTGGGTGTCCAGGATGAGCTGGTGAAAGTCACCCCAACCCCAAGCAGGCAGAGTGCCCTCACTCTGCAATACCCTGGGCCTCCATTCCAAATTCACGTCCCCTGACCCAGCCTTCCAAGGACCGACTCAGCACCCATGAAGATGGTCACTCTAGAGGTGGCCCAGAAACAGGAGTCTCCTATCAGATGGCCCATGATCCACCAGCCCATCCCCAAAGGCCCTAACAGCCTAAGCTCCCGAAAATTTGGAACTCACTTGCTCATGACCAGACACAAGGCAGCGCCACCTTGCTCACTGTGGATGTTTGCCACTTGCCAATTTAAATAAGCATTTTTCCATGCTGCTAAAATTCTACCCTGATGTCATTGTTAATGGCTGCATAATATTCCACTAAGTAGAAGATTCCTTCCCTCTTCGGCTCTAACTGGAAATTTAGGTCTTTCCAAAAATTCACTCTTCTGCTGTCAATGCAGACAGGTGCTATCAAGACTTTGATATAAACCAGGGGTTGACAACCTTTTTCTATAAAGCCAGAGAGCAGTATTTTCTGCTCTGCTCTGCCAGAGCCATTCAACTGTGCTGCCATGAAAGCCACCATAGACAATACATAAACAAACGGACACAGCAGAGTGGCAATAAAACTTTCTTTACACAGACAGCTAAAAGCTGTGGTTTGTCAATCCCCAATCTAGCATCCCATGCAGCTAATCATCTGGCCAGGAGGATCAAACCTTTGTCTACAGCTTAAACGCATACTGCCAGACTGCTTCCCCAGGGAGCGGGGCCAAGTCTCCCAGTGTGGACAGGCCCTCCTGCCTTGCCCACTCCTGTCAGTTCTGAGTATTTTTCTCCTGTTACAACTGCCGTTTCAATAGGTGAGAACAGAGGGTCATGTGGTTCCTTTCAGCTGCGTTTCTTTGACTCATTTTGCTATCTCACTCCCAACAGCTCACCACTCCCGCTCCCAGCTCACCACTCCCGCTCCCAGCTCACCACTGCTGCTCCCAGCTCACCACTGCTGCTCCCAGCTCACCACTCCCGCTCCCAGCTCACCACTCCCGCTCCCAGCTCACCACTCCCGCTCCGAGCTCACCACAGCATCCCCAGTCCATGGCATAGGAGGAAGGTTTTCTCCTCCTCCCAAGAACGTTGCTGACCCACCCTGATGTATTTAGCAGGAACGACAGAGAAAACTGAATAGATGCCATGTTTTCCATAAACATCCAGAGGCTGAAGACAGAAAACACCTCCCTCCAAATTAGTAGCTCTCAAAGCTTTTGTTTGCCTGAAAAATCAGTGGTGGGATAAGGTGGGCCTATTAAATGCAGAGTCCTGGCCCCCAGCCCTGAGACTGTGACACAGCAGGTCTGGGGCAGGGCCTGGTAACTTGCACTGTTAAGCATGGGTAATGTGGTGAGGGTTTCAGAAGTGGCACAGTGTGACCCTGGGCCTCAACAGGGAAGGCTCCCCATGAACTCGCTTGGCTCCTGCAGCCCCCCACACCTTCGGCAGCAGAAGCAGATCCCTGGGAGGCAGAGGCAGCCTGAGTCTGCTCATAGATGGAGAGCAGGGCCTCGTCTTCCACAGCGAAGTACACAGGAACAATGGTCTCCATGGCCAGCATCTCAGGCTCAATCTCCATGAATTGCTGTGGAAGAGACACATGGTTAGGTGACTAATGGCCTGGGGGATGCCCAGTGGCTGTCCCTGGAGGGCAGAGAGGCCAGGCCTGAAATAATGCCTCCACGGAGGCAGCTAAGAGGCTAGGATTGCACCAGAGAAGAGGAAGGGGCAAGAAGGAGACAGGAAAGTGCGATGAAGACGAGGGACAGCTGAGGTGTGGTGGTGCCCAGGGGCCCCCTGGGTGGTACCCAGCAGGGAGGAAGTGGGCTGGGAGAACAGGCACTGGAGCCAGCCAGGCTGGGGTCAGGTCTGGTGTTACTGTGGACTGTCCTGCCCTCACTGCCCATCACATCCTTAGCAGTAAGTGGGCAATGGGTGCTGGCTTCCTAAGCTGACGGCAGGGACCCACATGGACAGTGGGCATAAACTGTATGCCTGGCACTGAGCTGGCTCTTGGAAAATGTGGGCTGCTGACGCTACCCAACCTCCACAGCCCCACAACCTCTTCTCATGTGCAAAGCATCTTTACCGCAGAATCTTGGGGGATCCTATCAGACCCTGTTCATTCAAAGCAGACCTCTGCCCCTCAGCACCACTGACATCAGGTCCAGGTCACTCTCTGTGGGGGCCTGTCCTGGGCACTGTGGGGTGTTGAACGGCACCCCTGGTGGCATCCACCTGATGCCAAAAGCACCCCCAGTTGTGACAACCGCAGATTCCCAGACATTACCCAGTATCCCCTGCAGAGTCACTCCAGGGGGACAGGACCAATGATGAAGGGGAACAGGAGGCATTTGCTTCCTGAAGGACAAGGGCCCAAGGGCTCAGGGAAATGGCTTGCCACACAGCTGACTCCAAATCCGGTGTCCCCTTTTCCACAGAAGCTTCTGGACCCTGGCCTGTACAGAAGGTGGGGAACGGGGGCTCACCCGAATGACGTCCTGGGGCACGGCCGCCATGGCCCGTGGCAGGATGATGACCACGGCGCCAGCCAACTGCCGTAGAGCCTTCTGGTACTGCTCGTAGGAGAAGTCCAGCAACCGCATGAGCACGCAGCGGCGGCTCAACACATCTGCATCGATGGTTCGCGCCTCCGTGTTGAGCACTGCGTTCCGTGTGCCTGGGGGGAGCCAAAGGGCGGGGTGCTCCCTCAGCAGGGTCCAAGACCCGCGCCCAGAGAACACCGACTCAGTAACCCCAAGTCCCACCAGCCCTCTGCCCACATGCCCCAGTACATGTCGGCCAGGACCAGCATCCAACTTGCATTGAATGCAGTGCCCACTTGAACCCTGGAGCATTGCAGGAGGGCCTTTTGAGAACCAAATGAAAGCTGAGACTTCCCCCTGGACAAATCCACAGGCCATCCCTCCCCCGACTCCCAGAATCCTAGGGCAACCCCAAACTCTGGGCCTGGCTATCCTGAGCCCAGTGGCCCGTCCTGCCCTCTCTGGCCCCTCCTGCCAGGCACCTCCTGCCCTCCGGGCCTCTAACATTGCCCTGATCGCTAATCCTCTAGGCGGGGCCTCAGCACCATCTAGCCTAGCATGTGTATGGCTATCTATTCCTCTAATTAAACGGGGATTCAGGGGACAGAGACCTCATTCACTGCCAAGGAGAGCAGCGCAGCCACTTGTCCTGACAGGTTCATGTGTGGTTGTTTTTCTATTTTTATTGATTTCAGAGAGGAAGGGAGAGGGGGAGAGAGAGAAACATCAATGATGAGAGAGAATCATTGATCGGCTGCCTCCTGCACACCCCCTACTGGGGATGGAGCCCACAACCCGGGCACGTGCCCTTGACTGGAATTGAAGTCGCAGAAGCTTTCCTAAGGCCAGCCCCTTGGGCACACAGCATGTGAACGCTGTGTCCTGGAAGTGCTGCTGGAGAAAGGCGTCCCAAAGAAGCCCTTTTGAGGTTAAAATGCTGGACTGTGGAGGGGGCAATACGTCTACATAGCTCCCCACAGCTACACGGAACGGAACGTAGTGGCAGGCCCCTGGGGGCCATCTTTTCTCTTTTTAAATCCTCACTTCAGGGCATACTTAGAGAGAGGAAGGGATAGAGAGAGAGAAACATCAATTGGCTGCCCTCCGTACGTGCCCAACCAGGGATCAAACTGGCAACCCTTTGGTGCAAAGAACGATGCTCAACCAACTGAGCCACACCAGCCGGGCAAGGGAGCCATCTCTTCCAATGAAATGGCGGGTAAGGGGGCTCAGTCAGCATCCCAATGGCAGAGCCACCTACATGCTGCCGGAAAGCTGCCAGAAATCCCAATTCTTATATCAAATCACCTCAATTGTAAAGGCAGCAAGGATTCCAGAACATTTCACATGCTGCAGGCTGACCCAGGTTGAAGCAAGCAAGTAAACCCTAACCCAGGAGTGGGCAAATTTTTTGACTCGAGGGCCACAATGGTTTCTTAAACTGGACCGAAGGGCCGGAACAAAAGCATGGATAGAGTGTTTGTGTGAACTAATATAAATTCAAAGTAAACATCATTACATAAAAGGGTACGGTCTTTTTTTTCAATAGTTTTATTCATTTCAAACGGGGTGGATCCGGCCCGCGGGCCGTAGTTTGCCCACGGCTGCCCTAACCCCATGAGGGCTGGATGGAGCCCCCCAGAGCCTCCAGCTGGAGACCCACACAGTGAGCACAGAGGACACAGAGAAGGGATCTGGCATCCCCAGGGGGGCCAGCCCTCAGCTGGAGGTGGAAGAAGCTCAGGGGAGGCGCCATCCATGCCCTCACAGATGCAGACCTATGCCAGGCGACACTAAGCCCAGGCTCGGGGCCAGGAGCCTAGATCCCTGCCTCTGCTTTCCAGGAATGAGCTCTTTGGGAAAGTGAGCAAGCAGTCAGAAGGCTTGCTTCCAATGGCTGCCCTAGGAGGATGGTGGGGAGAGGAGGCCGGTGGACACCGAAGAGACAACATCCCAGGTGGGAACAGGGAGGGCCATCTCTGTCAGGGGGCCTGCGACCAAGGAGTAAAGGTGGCCATATGCCCTGGGCCAGGGGTGCCCTGTCTCCACCCCCAATCCTCTGGGGAACTTCTCTCTGCTTTAAGCAGGGGAGGGCAGCAAAGACCTTCAGGATGCCCTTGAAAGTCCTGAAATGCTCAGAAGGCCCCTCCTCCATGCACCACCTGTTCTGGGCCCTCAGCCTCCCAGAGGGGCTCAAACGTCACCTCAGGGGCGGGGACATGAAGGGCGGCCTGTGGAGCCTTCTGTATGCATCTCCTCACTGGGCCTGGTGCTCCTACAGGGCAGGAATCAGGACCCAATTTCCAGAGGGAGGAAGCAAGGCTAGAGAAGGAGGGGGATAAGAGGAAGGCCAGGGACTGTCCCCCAGACTCTGAGCACCCCAAGGGCAGAGACCATCTTTACTGATATGAAGTTAAAGCCAGCACAGCCTCCTACATCCCTGCTCTAGACCAGCAGAGGTTCAGGCTTGATAGAGGGCACTGAACACCGGAACAGAGGTTGCTGGTTCCCACTATGGAGCCTGCAAACTTTTCTATCGAGGACCAAAGGAGCAATTCTCTTGCCTGGCTGAGCTGTAGCGGCTGTCATGACTACTCAGTTCTGCTGTCAGAAACACATCAACTAGTGCGTGTGGTTGTGTGCCAATAAAACTTTATTTACAACAATGGCTAAAGGACCAATCCTAGGTAAAAAGCCCTGGCAAGTCTGCCCAGCAGGGTGCTGGGGTACTAACACGCCCACCTCCTAGGGCCTTGCTGAGCCACAGTGCACCAGCACAAAGTAAGCGCTGTTAAAGCAGCAGTCGACCTCAGAAAGGCCAGAGTCCACCTGGTAGGGGCTGGGCCACACCTGTGGCCCTGTACCTGGTGTATTTCCCTCAGTACTATTCACAGCAGCACAAAGAGCACACGCCTTTCCTTCCTGGGCAGCTGCCCAGCCCTGTTTCTTAACAGGAGTGACAGGAAGTTGGGAAACGAGAGACTGAGCCAGGATTGCACCAGAGATGGGGAGCCTGGGGCGTGCACTCTAGGAGAGGGCGTGAAAGACACTGGGGAGACTGCACTCAGCAGTGACCTAGCCGGCCATTTCTCAAAGGCACCACTGGCAGGGAGAGACTCAGGGCTTCTTCTGGCCACACCAGTCTTTCTGCTGCTGCTGCGGTAGCAAAGCCTCAGACCCCTGAGGAGCCTCCCCTCGACCAACTATCCCACCAGCCTCTCCCCAGGCAGCAATGGTCTGCCCAACATCTGAGCCAGGGATACTGCAGGGTGTGTGGGGTGTGGACATGCAAGCCCCACTGGCAGAGCCTCATTCAAGTTTCTCAAGCCAGACCTCTGTCTCCCTGCTCTGCAGATGAGCGGCACTTGGCTAACATGGGTGGGTGCCCCACCAGGCACCCTCCAATCACCCCTGGGACCCAGAGTTTGTATAAATGCCTCACAGAGGGCGGGAGGTGTCTGTGTTTCTCACTAGGAGCAACAAAGACAGGGGTCAAGAAAGGGGGTATGTGGAGGGTGATACCAAGTGGAAAAAAAAAGAACGGGAGGGAATCCCAGGGTCAGGAGCGAAGGACTTAGAAAAGGGAGGGAAAGGGGAAAAAGCTAAGGGAAAGGAGAGGAGGCCGGGGAGAGAGGTCACCTAGGATCTGCAATGGAGGGAGATGGGGAGCATGGCTCTGCATTCAGAAAGATGGTGCCTTGGCACCTGTTTGCTCCACAAATTCAGCCAGCATTTCCTGGGCGGGTTTGGAGGGGAGAAAGGAGGCCACATCAGGTGCAAGCAGGACAGTGCTGAAAGGGCCAGAGGAAACCTGGGGGTGTCCAGGCTGTCAGACTACAGCTGTCCCAGGGGCCAGAGAGAGAAGCTGGGTGTGTCGGGAGGGGCAGGACAGAGGCTCTTGGCAAGGCTTCTGAGTGTGAGTCGTTTGGGTTGGGACAGAATGACCAGAGTTGAAGGAACTGAGCCCCAGGGTCTGAAGAAATTGGTTATATTGAGTTTTAGGATCTGGGCCTTCTGGACTGTGGATTCCTCTGGGAAACCAATGAAAACTCCAGACCAGGATGGCAGCCACCTGTCACACATGATTACGTGACTTTATTACAATTAAATAACAGTGAAAATCTCCTTCTGTGGCAGAGCCACATCTCCATTGCCCAGTGGCCACCTGGGGCTGGTGGCTCCGTACGAGTGAAAGCACAGAACCCGTCCACCGTCACAGAAGGTCCACTGTGCGGACTGGTCAGTCCCTTCCTCCAGGAGACTGTCAATGCACAGAAACGTGCCCACAGATAAGAGCTCCTGCCCCCACCCCGACTCCTGCAGAGCCCGAGGCCTCGGGTTCAGAACCATCACGGAAACCCCAAGTGTCTCCCCTCAGCACTGGGGCCGGATCTTTCTCTGTGTGGGGCCGTGCCGGGCACTGTGAGGTGATCAGCAGTATACCTGACCCCCACCCACACAAAGCACCCCCTAAAGTCATCACCCAATGAACCCTGGGTTGACAACCACTGCTCTGAACAGAAAGAGCATAACTTTGTGGCGAGGAGGGATCTGCGGGGAAGTCTGGACGCGTCTCCAGAGCCTGAGGAGCTGGCAGCTGGCAGCTCTCCAAAGGCCTGGCAGGGCTTGGGGCCTCAATGGGTCGCAGGTCTACCAGGAGAAGGCAGTCGAAGAGAACTGAGGCAGACCCCTTAGAACAGTGGTTCTCAACCTTCTGGCCCTTTAAATACAGTTCCTCATGTTGTGAGCCAACCATAAAATTATTTTCGTTGCTACTTCGTAACTGTAATGTTGCTACTGTTATGAATCGTAATGTAAATATCTGATATGCAGGATGGTCTTAGGCGACCCCTGTGAAAGGGTCGTTCGACTGCCAAAGGGGTCGCGACCGACAGGTTGAGAACCACTGCCTTAGAGACAGGGGACCAAGAGAACTGGAGAGGGAGGCTCCTTTATAAGAAAGTCAGGCTTTGACTTGCAGGGACCTAAAGTACCAGGCTGGAAGAGAAACCAGAGGCCAGAAGGTTCTGGAACAACAAATACAGGCATGTAGTTGGGAAGAGACCAGAGAACTTGGGCACTGGGGTTAGAACCACCACTGGCAGGTGAAGAAGCAGGAGTGGGGGAGCAAGGAGTTGTGCAGGCCCAGGAATCAGAGACAACACAGAAATCCCGGAAAAGAGGTAGCAAGCGGAGTTCCAGGAAGCTGGGGATGAGGACGATGAACTGAGGGGTGTAAATACCAAAGGAGAGGTCAGGACATGGGACCAAGGGACCCTCAGGACCCTAAGGCATGGGGCTAAACAGGGGGAGCGGAGTCGGGCTAAGGAATTCTGAGGAATCAGGCTCATGAGCGGGGACCTGGGAGAGCTCAGAGCCAGGAGAGAAACGGGCCCTGACCTGAGGCCAGGCCTTGGTTAGGGTTAAAGGTTCGGGTTAGGGTTGGCGATCTGTGCTCTGGAGTCCCGAAGGGAGCAGAATGTGGAGGCTGCACCAAGAGCACCGAGGTGCCCAGGGGCTGTGGGAAGCAGGGGCTGGGTGGAACAGCACGTTGGGCGGCTCACCGAGCAGACCCTAGCGAGGTGGCTCACCTCCAAATCCACCAGGCCAGAGGGCGAAGCTCTGGGAGCAGAGCATGGCCCAGTGGGGATGAACGCGGGGTGCCCCAGGGAGGGACATCCTGGGCAACGCGACGCTGGCCCCGCTGGGAACTGGAGAGGGGACCCAGGAGCAGAGGGAGCTTAGCCTGAGCGTCGGAGGGCTCTGGGACAGACAGCCCTTGTCAAGGACGGGAAGGTGTGGGAGCCGGCGCGGGGGGACTCCTGGGGACCGGGCGGAGAGCTGGGGGCCTAGCGGAGGTCCAGGCATCCACGCTCTGACTTGCATGGGCCTAGGTGAGGGTCTGGCAGCTGGACAGGCCGGAGAGGAGGGTCCTAGGGCCCGGGAAGCAAAGACCCGGCTGAGGGAAGGGGGCATCTCGGCTCGGGGAAGGCCGAGAGGAGGCCGGCTGAGCCAGGGGCCGAGGGGTGCGGTGGAGGGAAGGCGGGGACTCGGGGGAGGCCAGGAGGGAGGCCGGGGTCCACGCACCGTAGGGCTGTCCTTGCAGGTCATACTGCTGCATGCGGTAGACGGTGAACTCGTGCGCCGCATCGGCGGCGGGCAGCGGCGGCGCCACCAGCAGCAGCACGGCGGGCAGGAAGACGATGAAGCCGAGCGGCAGGCACGACGCCTTCAGCATGTTCTCCAGCACCTCGCCCGCTTCCTCCAGCATCCTGGCCGGCGGGGGAGCCGCGCAGAGCGGCGGCTTGAACGGGACAGCGGCGGCAGCGACGGCGGCAGCTCCCACAGACTCACCTCCACACGGGTAGCCGCCGGGGTCCTGAGGACGCAGCGCCGGGCAGCCCGGGCCCGCCCCGGGGTCCTGCGGGCACTGCTGCGGACCGCCCCGCGCCGCCGCGCTGCCTCCTGGGAGGTGTACTTCTCACGGAGCGCGCGAAGCCTCCTGGGAGTTGTAGGCCCGCTCATTTACTCCAGAATGCTATCTGTGGTGGGCTGTTTGGCTAAAACTGCTAAACTTTCTCATAAACTTCAAGTCAGGAAATACGGAGACTTAAAAAAGAACTGTTTGAAGTGGAACTTATTTACACCCTGTCTTTGCTGTGGGAGGAGGGGGAGGTGACTGCGGATGTAGAGCTTGACCTTGAACCGAGCAAAAAGTTGGTAACGTAGGGAGGGGCCTGCTTGGTGCGCTGGGTCTCCTGGGAGTTGTAGTCTCATTGAGCAAGCACAGGGGATCATTGAAGCTGTAGTCTTCCTGGCAGAAGTCTGGAAAAAATCACTTAAAACTTCCAAGGAATGTAGATGTTAAACTTCCATGAGGGCGAAGACTTTGGTCTGCTTTGTACATTGATGTATCCCCGGAACCTAATAGAAAGCCTGTCACGCAATGGGTGAGCTATATAATTTTGGGATGAATGAATGTAGAAATCATAGAAAGTTCCTAAAGGGATGACGTAATGGATTATGGGACTTGTAGTCTGGAACCTGGAGTTCGTGCAGGGATTGGTGACATGCTTATTCATTTTGGGGTCATAATCATAGTAAAACATTATTCATCAGAAAATGAAATTTAACTGTGTGTCCTAAGTTTGTATTTTCTAATCTGGCCACCCTAAGAACCCTCTGTCTCGGGGCCAGGAATCTTGAGAAGCATGAGTAACTCACACCCCCTTGTACAGATGAAAAGACTGAGGTCACAGGGTGGAGAATACAACAGCCCTGGCCCACAAGGTGTTGACATCCCAGGCTCTGATAGGGTGGCACTTGTTCTGATTAACAGCATTGGGTTCAAATCCCAGCCCCTCCACTTCCCATCTGTGTAACCTTGGGCAAGTCACCACCTCTGAGCCTCAGTTTCCTCAGCTGCCAAGTATAATAAATAATCAAATACTCTTCCCCTCCCCGAAGAGATGTGTAAGCAGTTCATCAGATAACCCACATGAACTGACTCGGAAAGAGGAAGGCACTCATGAAACTCTCAATAAGTGTTGCTATTATAAGAATGCACCCACTTGTGCAGCCCCGGGACTGTTGCATCTGCTCTGCCAGCAGAACACCCTCCCCCACTTTTCTGCACGGCTAGCTCCTCATAGAAATGTCTTTGGGCATTTCTTAGCTCGGCATTGCCACCTCCAGAGTGGGAGCTTGATGAAGGCAGAAACCAGATTGTTTGTATCTGGAGCCTCAGTGCCCAGAATAGAGCCTAACACACAGTGGTTAAGTGAATGAATGAGTAGTGAAAGCTCCAACACACCAGCCAACCCTTCCTAGCCATTCTTCTTCTTCCCTTTCTTCCAGCCGTTCTGCAGGCCTCTCCAGGGAGGTCCTAGGCCTGAGGAGTCAGGAGTGCCCTGGCAGGGCAGGGAAAGAGATAAGAAGTCATTCTGGCCCACATCACCAAATGGTTATTACCTGCTTCTTCCATCTGCACCCCCATTCTCGCAGGTCAGGATAGGAACACATAGGACACACACACACGTTCATCCAGAGACAGGTCAAGATAGGGGCCTGGCCCTAGCCAGTGTTGCTCAGTGGTTAGAGTGTCAGCTCACACAGGGTCATGGGTTCAATTCCCAGTCAATGGCACGTACCTGGGTTGTAGGTTCGATCTCCAGCCCCAGTCTAGGTGCGTGAGAGAGGCAACCAACCAATGTGTTGATGTGTCTCTCTCATATAGATGTTTCCTTCTCTCTCTCTCTCTCTCTCTCTCTCTCTCTCTCTCTCTCTCTCTCCTCACTCCCTTCCACTCTTTCTAAAAGAAAAAAAAATCAATGAAAAAAATATCCTCGGGTGAGGATTAACAAAACCAAAACAAGATAGGCGCCTGAACATGACTGCCTAGAGCTGCCCATGCTGCCTGCTCTCCTGAGCCTCTGTTTTTCTGTCTAAAATATGGAGGTTCAACTAGTCCTCCTTCAAAGAATGAAACGGAATTTTGAGTTTTCCTAGGAGGAAAGGAATTGGTATTCATTCATTCATTCATTCAAGAGGCAGTAACACGCAGGAATCAAAAAGCCACCTGCCTGGTTTTGAATCCCAGCTCTACTGCTTCCCAGCTGTGTGACCTTGAATCAGTTACCTGACCTCTCTGGGCCTCAGTTTCTCATCTATAAATGGAGTTCATGGAGAGGTTTTGTGAGGGTTACATGAGTTAAAACAAAGGTGATTACACAACACGAGGCACCGAGTGATAAATAAGGCGTTGTTATTATTATTCACTTAAAAGCACACACGTAGTAGTTCCAGGGTCTTTTTATGTTTCGAGTTAGCAACATCCCAGGGTGGCAGAGGCTCTCAGTGTCCTCATTTGACAGACGAAGAAGCCGAGGCCCAGGGCGTTCCGCAGAGCTGGAGAATGACAATGGGTTGCAGACACCTGAGCCATCTAACAAGCAGAAGACAAGGATTCTTGGGGACGATTCTGCCACCGTTAGAGAGAGGGCTGGGGTAGGGGAGGAGGAGGGGAAGAGGTTCCCGGGGCTCAGCAGAAGGCGTGCTGCTGAGTCCAGTGCTCCCAAAGCTCCAGGCCACCGAGTATTTGCTGTGTTCTGGGCCCTGGGCCAGGTCCCAGGGGCACAGCAGTGACGCAGACACTACCAGGATCTCCATTGCCACAGCTGGCAGTCCAGGGGAAGAGGTAGATGGGTGACCAGGGGCAACTGGCACTACAGTGGGACTCACAAATAGCTGTGCGAGTCCAGAGGAGGCCTAGGGAGGGGCGGGAGAATCAGAGGAGACTTCCCGGAGGAGGTGATGCTAATCTAAAGCTGAGACCCAAAGGGCAGGCAGGGCAGATGGGGCAGCGAAGCCAGCTCAACACGGGCCCAGAACACAGGCTGAGGGGTGAACACACTCACCCCACACTGCCTACTGCTGCCCCAGACAAAGACACCCAGAACAAGCATCAGGGGAATGTAAAAATTACTCCAGCTTATCGTGCACCCACACACAGGCTGGAAACTCTTTCTGACCATGTCCAAAAGAACTTTCCATGATGATGAAAACATTCTGCCTCGACAGTGTCCAGAACAGTTCCCAGGAGCCACATGTCACCACTGAGTGCTTAAAATGTGGCCGCATGGCGGCTGTGGGACAAATGTATATGTTGAAGTCCTAAACGCCAGGACCTCCGAATGTGGCCTTATTTGGAAAATAGGGTCGTCGCAGATGTAACGAGTTAAGGCGAAGTCGTACAGGACTAGGGTGGTCCTAATCCAATATGACTGGTGTCCTTACAAAAATGGGAAATTAGGACACAGACATACACACAAGGGGAATGCCATGTGAACATGAGTGCGGACAGGAGGGCGACGCATCAGCAAGCCAAGGAACACCAAAGATTGCCAGCCAACACCAAACTCTAGGAACAGACCCTCCCCCGTGGCCTCAGAACGAACCCACCCTGCCGGCATCTTGATCTCAGACGTCAGCCTCCCGAACGGGGCGGCGTACCTGTCTGAGGCTTAAGCCCCCTCACGTCTGGTGCTTTGATGCGGCAGCTTCCGCCGACCAAACCAACCAACTGACTTTGAACTTTTCCTTTCGTTCTCGCTCATGATCACTAGCCGCACAAGGCCAGCTGCTGCTATGTTGGACAGCGCAGTAAACGGTTTCCAGGCACCAAACCCCCGTAGGGTGGCGGAGAAACAGACGCGGGGGTGGGGGGCCGGGGGGGGGGGCTGCCCTGAGAACTTGGCGAGACAGAGACAGGAGGACCCTGGCTGCCTCCTGGGAGGATGGAGAAGGAGAACATTCTACCAGCCGAGGGGGCCGGGTATGGAGGGTGTGCACCTGCGCTGTCCCATCGGCTCCTTAAATGCAAACGAACTCAAAGGTCAGCTCTTCCGTTTCACCGGCCACGGACGGAGTGCTCGGCAGCCACGTGGGCTTCCCGTCCTGGCTGGATGTGGAAGCTCTCACCATCGCCAGCCGTTGGGTGGGACACATGGATGCGCTTCGCCGTGGCAAGCACTGGGCAACAACAACCTCACGCTGTGGGTTCTGCTTGTTACCAGCCCGTTTTACAGGTGGGAAGGGGGAGGCTGTCAGTGCTAAAAAGCACTCCAGAGCGTAGGCAAGGCTCCCGAGGCCAGGAGAACCAGACCACTGGCCTTTGTTGGCCCCAGACTGCGGTCCCAAGAGATGCAGAACCTAGAAGTGGAGGAAGAGGCTGCCAGGAAACCAAGATGAGAGATGGGGAGGAAAGGGGAAGTGAGCGAGAAGGGGAGGGTGTCAACTGTCACTGTCTCCCCTCCCCACCCCATCCCGGTAGCCTTGTGTTGCTCAAATGCTTTCAGAAGAGTAGTCTGGTTACACACAGGTGTGCGCACACACCCTCCACAAGAGGCCACAGAGATGTCTGTGCATATGCAGAGGCACAGCACATGCTCGTGGGCACAAGCCATTCTGTCCTCTCTCTCTCTCTCTCTCTCTCTCTCTCTCTCTCTCACACACACACACACACACACACACACATACACACAACCACCTGCCCTCACACCCACACCACCTCACCACCAAGCACACGGACCCACCTCACACCCACACCACCCACACCACCACCACCACCAAGCACACAGGCCCAAGGCTTTCCCTGGCCACCGACATGCCTCCTTGCAGGCTCCTGGCCGCCCCAATGCCCTCATGCCATCCTCCCTCTGCAAAAACGTGAATAAGAGGGAGGCGGAGACATCTCATACCATCATTGAACTTCCATGTTGTCAATTCCACCGTCATCAATTCCACAGGCTGCCCCTTGTTGCCTGGGAGCCCCACGGAGGCCCAGAAAGGAGCCCGGATTTCCCCAGAATCACACAGGAACTGGGGCACACATAGTCACCCCACTTGTCCCCACTCCAGGGCGCCCTCTGTTCCAATGAGCGGTTGCCTCTTTGGCATCAGCAGACTGGGGGACTGCGAGGAGAACCACGGGGCCTTGGGACCCCTGGCTGGCTGCCCTGTTCCGTCCTCTCCCTCCACTGCCTGGTGCCTCCCTGCATGCTCCCAGGCCCCTGGCCCGCCCCTCCTGGGCCTCGCCCAGGGCAGGAGGGGGGCCTGCGTGGGCC